ACCTCCTGTCACACTCAAGGCAGGGTCGATGGGGAGGTTGCGGCGCCACCCCCTGTCACGCACAGAGCAGGGTCGATCAGGGGGTTGGGGAGCTCCCCCCTGTCACTCACAGAGTAGGGCCAATAGGGGATCTGGGGCACTGCCCCCTGTCACACACAGAGCAGGGCGGATCAGGGGGTTGGGGCGCTGCACCCTGTCACACTCAGGGCAGGGCCAATGGGGAGGTTATGGCTCTACCCTGTCACACACAGAGCAAGGCCTGTGGAGGGGGGTTGGGGCGCCACCCTCTATCACCCACAGAGCAGGGCCGATCAGGGGGTTGGGGCCCCGCCACTGTCACACTCGGGGCAGGGCCGATGGAGAGGTTATGGCTCTACCCTGTCACACACAGAACAGGGCCTGTGGGGGGGAGGGTTGGGGCGTCGCACCCTGTCACACACAGAGCAGGGCCAATCAGGGGGTTGGGGCGCTGCACCCTGTCAAACACAGAGCCGCAGGGCAATCAGGGGATTGGGGAGCTCCCCCCTATCAGGCACAGAGCAGGGCTGATCAGGGGGTTGGGGTGCCTTCCCCTGTCACAAACAGAGCAGGGCGGATAGGGAGGTTGTGGCCCCGCCCCCTGTCACACACAGAGCCACAGGGTGATCAGGGGGTTTGGGCGCTGCCCCCTGTCATGCTGATCCCAGTGCCGGGAGGCATATTACCCTTTTACTATATAGGATAGAGGCCTGGTGCATGGGTAGGGGCTGGCTGGTTTGCCCTGAAGGGTGTCCTGGATCAGGGTGGGGGTCCCCACTGGGGTGCCTGGCCAGTCTGGGTGAGGGGCTGAGGGCTGTTTTCCGGCTGGCGAGTGACTGAAGCTTCCAACTGCTCCTTGTTTTCTGTTTCTTTTTTTTTTTTTTTATTCTGGGCCAGCTTTAGCTCTGAGGCCTGGCTGCTGAAAACATCGATACAATGTTGCGGTCCGGCTGGCTTTCAGTCTGGCTGGTTTCTGGGGTTTTGTTTAGCTTCTTATTTGCAACATAGTACATAGTTGCTTAGAGTTGCAGCTGAGAGGCCGGCAAGTTAGGCGGGGAAGTTGGAGTCCGCAGTCACTGGAGCAAGCAAGCCTCCCTGCTCGCTTCAGTGCATGGCCGCCAGCTGCCATCTTGGCTGACAGTTAATTTGCATAAGGATATGCTGATTAGCCAATGGGAAGGGTAGCGGTCATACGCTAATTACCATGTTTCTCTTTTATTAGTGTAGATAGTCTGTTGCAATGAAGACTTCATATATATGCATCTTCTAAACAGTCACTCACAGTTTTCCCTAAGGTTTGACAGTGTTTTATAATTTTTAAAAATGTTTATTTATTGATCTAAGAGAGAGAGAGAGAGAGAGAGAGAGAGAGAGAGACATCCATTTGTTGTTCCACTTATTTATACATTCATGGGTTGATTCTTGTATGTGCCCTGACAGGGGATTGAAAAACCTTGGCATATTGGAACGACACTAACCAACTGAGCTACCCAGCAAAGGCCCTGTTTTAGAATTTAAAATATGTGATCTTCATTGTGATTCACATGAAAGGGCATTTGCACATTTAACATGACATTTGTAAATGAATATGCAACATTGAAAGAATCTTTTTGTGTGTGTGTGTTTTTTGAAGCCATCAAAGATGATTCAACCATGTTTCAAACCCTCAAAAATAATATGCAAAATAACCCACAGAAACTAAAAAGAATTTCAAGCAAGTTCCTTCCTGCTTATGGTTTGAATTCTAGCTTGATCTCTCTTTCAATTCATCAGGGCAAGCTCGTCCACTCTGCACAGGATAATAGATGTTTTTCAGATACTGAATGTTCAGCTACCTAAGGAAAACGCTCACAGTTCCCTGAAGGAAATGAGGATATTTGCGTAACAGTTTGCTTCGGAGAAAAGGACATGACATTATTTATTTTACATGTGCATTAAACGTTCATCATGGTGCCCACCAGGCACCAAGCAACAGGTTTGTCACCTTCCTGCTGGAAACCTGCTCCTGGTTCTCCTCATTATTGTAAGTAGCCGCTGACTCTGCATCCTAGATCTCAGCTGGACCTGCTCAGTCTGTATTCACGGGAGCACAAAGCACTGTACAAGCTTTGATGGTGGCATAGACACCAATTTAAAATGCAACACCATCTCCATTTACTCTTTTTTTTTTTTAAATCTTCACCAAGGATATTTTTCCATTGATTTTAGAGAGAATGGAAGAGCAAGGGAAAGAGACAGAAACCTCAGTGTGAGAGAAACACATCCATTGGTTGCTTCCTGCAGGAGCCCCAATCAGGGCCGGGCTGGGGAGGAGCCTGCAACCGAGGTACCAGGTATGTGTCCTTGATCGGAATTGAACTCGGGACCTTTGGTCTGTAGGCCGTTGTTCTATCCACTGAGCCAAACTGGCCAGTGCAACATCTCCATTTATATGAAATATCCAGCATAGTCAAATCCATAGAGACAGAAAGCAGGTTAGTGGTTGTCAGGGACTGAGAATGAAGGAGGGGAGTGAGTGCTTATCAGGTGCAGTTGCTTTTTAGGGGGATGGAAATGGTTTGGAAAGAGATAGTGGAGATGGCTGCAAAGCATTGTGGACACTAAATGCCACGGAATCACAGTTTAAAATTGCATGTTTATGTAAATTTTATGTCAATTTATAAAATGTAACAACATCAAAGTTCAAGGGCTGGCAGTGATTGGTGAGGGAAAAGGGTGCTCTATTTCTGGTCTAGGCCCAACTCTCTCCGTTTAGCCTAGAGAAAACGAAGTAGATACATCGTGTGAGCTCTAGAATGGGGTCCCACCAGATGCTTGATGGCAGGGCACCAGACCAAATCTCTGAAATCCTAGGAGATTTGCCTAGCACAACTTCCTCTCCATTTTTGGGGCTCTGCCTATTCATTGGTTCTAAGCCCTGAGACTTGGTGCCCTGAGGTGCCCATACCTAACACACAAAGCCAAGAAGCTTTAAGAGCCAGGCATCTTCTTATCCTCCGGTGTCACCCAAAATGTCACATCCTCAGCTAAAAACCACTTGCGTTTTTTAAAAAAAAACACATATTTTTAAATATATTTTTATTGATTTTAGAGAGGAAGGGAGAGGGAGAGAGAGAGGTAGAAACATCAATGATGAGGTAGAATTATTGATCAGCTGCCTCCTGCACGCCTCCTACTGGGGATTGAGCCCGCAACCCGGGCACGTGCCCTGACTGGGAATTGTACCCTGACCTCCTGGTTCATAGGCCAACACTCAACCACTGAGCCACGCCGGCTGGGCTCCACTTGTGTTTTTAATCTCAGCCCGTTATGTTGGCTGAATATCTATCTTCATTGCACTTACCTACACTGGTGATTTGGGGCCTTTTTTTTTTTTTGTCTCTTTCTCTAGAAGGTCAGCAACGTGGCGGCACAGATGGATGCTCATACCTATTCCTGGGCTCCTGCATTGGTCCAAACACTGAGCCAGGTGCTGGAGAAACAGCGATGAAGCCACCAGGCCTGATCTCAGTATTAATGAGCAGACAGTCCAGTGGGAGAGACAGATGTCAAGCTAAGAATCGCATAGAAACCTAGAGCTGCAACCGTGACAACTGCTTTGAGGACCGAGAAGCTGTGTACTCGGGAAATTTAACCTCGTCAGGGAGGTGAGACAAGGCTTCTCTGAAGAAGGAATAAATACGTTGTGAAATTGGAAAGCCACGCAGGAATTAATTATGCAAAGAGGAGAGAACAGAGTGTCCCAGGCAGAGGGCAGCTAGTGGAATGGTGGGAGGGACACGACATAAACAAGAGACAAACCAAAGGAGAGGTGGATGGAGGTCAGACCAAGCAAGCCCAAGTTAGGGCTTTTGTGTTTATCGTACGAGAAATGGACAGCTATTGAAGATCCTCAGGACGGTGGGTGGGGGTGATCTGGTCAGATCTACATTCTGAAAAGTCACTCTTTGGCGTAGGGAATGGGAAGGGAAGGGGAGTGGCCTCGATGCCTGACCAAGCTCTCCTCCTCCCCTTCCTCTCGAGTCCCTGCGGTATGGACGGAGCGATAGGAGTGCAACAAGCCTGGCTGATCAATTGCCACCCCCTCTCGTCCTCCACAACTGGTTCCTTGAAGAACACGTAATGGAGAGCTGGCTCTGTCAGAGTGACTACTGGGAACGCAGCAGGAATTGCCAGAAAAGATGCACCGGCTTTCTCTTTGGCTTTGAACTTGAGCACACATGAGGGGCCGCTGTAGCTGTCTGGCCACCACGATGAGGAGAGTCTGATGTTACCAGGAGTCATCCAGTGGGGCCCGAGAATGAGGCTGAGCTGAGAGATGGTGTGAAGCTGAGTCCTGATGACTTTCAGCATCTTGTCAAAGCACAGCCCAAGTGGCCCTGGCTTATGTCCATTTCAGTTCTGTGAGCCAATGCTTTTCGTCTTGCTTTTGCCAAATCTCACCCAATAGTGAGAGGGCTGATGGGCAGCAGGGGAGCCTGGGAGCGGTCTCCATCTGGGCATGCCCATCTGCTTCATTAGGACAGCGGAGGCAGGGATTCCTGTGTCAGCTCCTGCTGCCAAGCAGAGGGGCACCAGAGCCGGGGCAGGAGGGCAACGACCATCGGCCTGGGCAGATGTATTTTTGGGTGCCTGGTAATCTCATCTAGCTAGAATAGGTTGTGTAATTTATCCTTGTCCAGGCTGAAAAATTACTGTGTGGGGGGACTACTGTCTCTTGGTTTCCTAGTAAAATTCCTCTTGGAAGCCCGGGTGTGATCTTGGTTGATCTGAGTGGGAAAGGGAGGGAACCAGAGAGATCAGAATGTTCTGGAAGCTGTAGGGTGGAGAAGGGGGTGTGTGGCAGCCACCGAGGCCAAGCTTCAGCTCCAGGGAGTGTGCCTGTGGCCAGGCGCCAGGAAAAAAACATGACTATCCTTCTCTCCTACCCGTGATGAGACTCCTTGCTCAGCTCCTTCCCACCCAGCCTCCCCAGCCAGCAACTCTGGGAGCCTCCACAAGCACTTTAGGTTTTCAGAGGCAAAGCTGCCTCCCCAAATCTCATGATTACTTGAGGCCCCTAAGTCCGCCCTTCTCGTTCTCCCAAAGGAGGAATAATATCCACACGGGAGGATAAGTGAGAGGGATGCCATCACTCCAGCCTGTCTTTCAGGACGAAGGAGGCAGGACAGCATCACCGAGGGAGCCGGGCAGGAAATGAGGAGCCATGGGTTCAAGTTCTTGCTCTGCTAACAAGAAAGCAACGGTGAGCTGGACCTTTTTGCTCTGCTCCTCGCTCTCACGTGAGAGCATTGGATTCGATGTTCTTAAATCAAATGCTATACGTGTTCCAGTGGATAACTGCCTTTTTAAACTACTCAGGAAATGACCCTTTCTCAAGTTTTGGGAACATCACCTGCTGTGTAAGTCTCTTAACGGAAGGGGGGCAGCTTCTTTCTCTCTCTGAGCCTACAGAGCACTTGACCTTGGATCTTCCCTCCCAGGGCTTTGAGTCTAGACAGAGAGGCATGCAGGTAGGGTGGGGTTGGGTTTGTGATGGCAACGTGGGTAGAGGCAGGGCAGGTAGAGTGGCACTGGAGGTCAGGCACCGTGCACCGTGCACCGTGGCTGTGCTGTCCCATTGCCCAGCCTCCCTCGCTTCCTGACCGCTTCCCAGGATGAGTTCCCAGCCTTTCTATTAAGTCTGTGAACCACCCCACAGAACGTACCCCTTAAGGTTTCCATGAGGGTTAAATGAGATAATCCATGCAAAGTGTTTGACGTTGTGCCTGACCCACAGTAAGAGCTCAAAAAGGTATTATTATTGTTTTCAGAAAGATGATGTAAATTGTTTTTGGAAAACCAGTCCAAGGATTAATAATGGCAGTTGGGCTTAAACATGTTTGCACAATGATTTTCTTGCACTTCCCCTCACCCTCCTCCATTTGCACTCACACCAAGACATTTTACCTGCTCTCGTAGGGCAATAAGGAAACGAAAAGTGTGGGACACCATCTCTCCTCAGTGCTAACAGTTGTGTCAGAGAGATACGAAATACGTATATTTAATGCCATCTGTTTAAAAATGTCATTTATGGGCTAAGTAGCATGTATGTTCCATAAGAAAATGGTTTGAAACATGTTCAAATATTAAATAAGGAGAATTATAAGGGAAGTCCCAATATATTTCAAATCACCACTTTCACAGTGATAACTCTCTTCAAGACAAATTAAAATCAAGAGTAAAACATATTAATGCATTTTTAAAAGAAATGCATTTGGAAACAAAAAAGTTCTCAATGATTCCTGGATTAATAGGTAATGGAAGTCACAAAGTATTGAACAACAGTGAAAATACAAAATACCACAACTTTTGGGATGCAGTACAAGCTAAATTTAGAAGAGAGAAAGAAATGAGTTTGGGGTTTAACTCAAGTTATAAAAATAACAGAGTAAATGCAAAGAAATTAGAAAGAAGAAAATAATAAAGATGAGGACTGGCAATAAGTGAATAAACAAAACAGAAAAGATAGTAAAAAAAATTAAAAGTGGACTCTGAAAACTCCAATAAAATGGACAAATCTCTAGCAAGATGAATCAAGAAATCAAGAAAAAGTGCAAATAAGCACTCTGGAAAGGCAAAAGGGGGCACAGTCACAGACAGAAGAGATAAAAATCGCCGCAAGAAGCTACTGTGATCAGTTTTATACCAATGAACTTGAACATGAATCCTGTAGCAGATACAGGTTGTTGCTGTATCTGTGTTATGATACATTATGAAATGCTCTGCTCTGCTTTGATCTGATCTGTTATGATAACACAATCCTAACATCCCAAGGGCTTAAACACAACACAAGTTCCTTCTGGCTCATGTTGCGGCACCTGTGTGGGTGTGGGCGGGACCTGCCTGATGTAGTGACTTAGGAATCCAGGCTGATGGAGGCTGCAACTCCTCCACATGTGCTCCCAGCGTCCTCGCAGCTGGAGAATCTAGCTCTGACGATCAATCACTCCTTGTGCAGCAGGCTTGGAGATGTGCTGCTCAGATGTCCTTTCCAGAGAGAACCTACTGTGAGCAGTGGAGTTGGCTGACAGCCCTCAGTATCTGCCGCTGTGTTCCAGTCCAAATCAAGATCTCCCTGGGCAGCTGGCAGCCCACAGTGGTTCCTCGAGCCTGGCCATCTCTGCCTGGGACCACCCTCACCCTTACAGGCAATCTGCTTTTAAAGTTCCAATGCTCAGGCCAAGACTTGCTCAGAGCTGCAGCAAGCGCAGAGCTTCTTCCTCCCCAGTCCTCCTTAGGTGTCTCTCTTCTTATTTCCCCCATGGGTGTCAGGCCTGCAATGCAGCCTGAAGGCTTTCCTGCCCACTTCTGACCCTTTTCTCTTGTATCTTTCAAGCACGACCCATAATAAATCTCGTATTCCTGACTCCTGACTCTGAGTGGACCAGAACTCACAGAGCCTCTAAGTTATACTTCATTTTTACTCACATTTTATTGGCCAAAGCGAGTCATATGTCCATGCCCATCTTCAAGGCGGCCGGAAGCCTAATCCAGAACACAATGAGATATTGAGACACATTTGTATATCTATTAAACTACCGATTAAACAGATATTAATTATTCCCTCTTCCTCTTTTTTTTTTTTTTCTTTCCGCAGCAAAGCCCCAGTTTTGTTTGGGAGTCTATCCTGCACTCCCTATCATGACTCAGGGATAAATTGTAACTTACCGGAGCCAACTGCAACCATCCTATTTACCTTCTCAGTGATTGGATCAGGCCGGGGCGTGTGACCCAATTCTGGCCAATGAAATGGGAGAGGAAGTGTCCAGCTTTAAAAAGGACAGAAAGGCCCAGCTGGTTTTGGCTCAGTGATTGAGCGTCAACCCAGGAACAAAGAGGTCACTGTTAGATTCCCCGTCAGGGCACATGCCTGGGTTGCAGGCTCAATCCCCAGTAGGGGGCATGCAGGAGGCAGCCAATTGATGAAGTTTCTCTCTCATCGATGTTTCTATCTCTCTTTCTACCCCTCTCCCTTCCTCTGTCTCTAAAAACCAATAAAGAACATATTTTTAAAAAATGAAAAGGGAAAGGAAGGGAGAAAAGCCCCCTTTTTGTTGCTGAGATTGCTGTGTATGGATGTGTTACTCAGAGCCGAAGCCACCATCTAGCAGTATGTCAACAGGGAAAAAGAGAAAAACAAAAATAAAACTCAGGTTGGCAAACTTTTGTGGGGAGCCTTTTATGGAAGAAACACCATGAAAACTGAGACTTATTTAGCCCCATGTTCTCCTGTCTTTTGCCTTCTTTTTCTTATCAGACCGATTTCAGTCACACACCTCTTCTCTCTCCTTCACACCACATCAGCTCTTGTTTGAAGAATGAAAACAACAGCTGAACAGTATGATTCAACTAGTGCAGAGAAAGAAGCTAAAATTGACCAGTCAGGAAATGAGGCACGCATTAATAATTTTCTTTTGCATCATTGTTTTTGAAAACATCCAAATGCAATTAACTGTTGTCTATGAAATAAAACAAATTCCTAAAAAGGAAAAAGAAAACACTGGACTACTTTTTCATTCCACACTGACATTTATGGGGCACTTATTATATGCTTAACACTTTATTAGGAACTTATCATACACTGTCTCGTCAAATGACTTTCCATTGCCCTTTGAATAAAATGTTAACTCCTGCCTGGCTGGTGTGGCTCAGTGGTTGAGCATAGACCCATGAACCAGGAGGTCAGGTTCAATTCCAGGTCAGGGCACATGCACGGGTTTTGGGGCTTGCTTCTCAGTAGGGAGTGTGCAGGAGGCAGCCGATCAATGATTCTTTCTCATCACTGATGTTTCTATCTCTCTCCCTCTCCTTTCCTCTCTCTGAAATCAATAAAAATATCTAAAATTTTGTTAACTCCTTACAAAGCCCATTATACCTAGTGTGATCTGGCCTACCTCTCCAATTACCCACTGCCATCTCTGCTTTGTGAGCCATCCTGACCTTTTTCTTTTTATGAAACACTAGAGGCCCGGTGCATGAAAATTCATGCACTGGAGGGGGGGTTTCTCAGCCCGGCCTGCCTCCTCTCACAGTCCGGGAGCCCTCAGGGGCGGGAGGCCACCTGGCAATCAGGGGTAGGCGGCACCCCCATCTCACCTCCACTGCTGCCACTTCCAGCAGCGCAAGCCTTGGCTGGCCCTGGTTACCTGTGCCTTGGGCTGGCCCTGGACAGCTGGGCAGCTGCCATCCGAGGCTTGCCTGTGCCTGGGGCCAGCCCTGGGTGGCTGGGGGGCTGAGGGGACGGGGGGACTCTGGAGGCAGGCACGCGGAGCGGCTGGACCTGCCTGGGGGTGGGTCTGGCCAGGCCGAGTGCCTGCCACCCCGGTGGGGCAGAGGGGACTGGGTGCCACCATCTTGTGGTTGTGGGTGCTGCCATCTTTGAGGGCGTGACAGTCAATTAGCATATTCCCTCTTTATTAGATAGGATACCCAGCATGTTCCTGCATCAGGGCTCTTGCACATGGCATTACCTCTGCCTGACGTGCTCTTTCCTTGGTTTTCACATGTCTGATATGTTCTCATTAATCAGAACTCAGCTAAAATACCCCTTCCTCTGAGAGTCCTTCCTTGACTCTGCTGCCTAAAATGGCATCTCTCCCTCTACCTCTCATCACCTATTCTAGTGCCCTACCTTATTTTTTTCCCATTGAATGTATAGCATCTGAAATTATCTTTTCTTGGTTTGATTTTGATCCGTCTGCTCCCACTAGGTCTGTGGTCAGCAAACCGAGGCTTGCGAGCCACATGCGGCTCTTTGGCCCCTTGAGTGTGGCTCTTCCACAAAATACCGACTTCTGCGCATGGGCCACGAAGTTTCAATCGCACTGTATGTGCACGGCCGCACGTGGTATTTTGTGGAAGAGCCACACTGAAGGGGCCAAAGAGCCACATGTGGCTCTCGAGCCGCGGTTTGCCGAGCAGCAGTTTGCCGACCACTGCACTAGATTTTTCCTCTGTGGCTTGTTCATTGTTATATCACAAGGATTTGGAAAAGTGGCTGGCACAAAGTGGCTGCTCAATAGTGTTTGTTGAAAGAATGGAGAGAGAACACTCAGAATGGAGAGATAACCTTACAAGGCAGCGTACATATTATTTATAAGGATCAACATCCTTCAGCCAAAGACCACCAAGATCATACTGGTAGTAGAACTAGTTGGGTTTATTCCTTATTGCACACCATGGGGGACCATGATGTATCTCAGTCACAGGGTGTTAGAAAGGACCGTAAAGGTTTGGGGTTTGAGTTGGATGATTTTGGTTGGAGTTTAAGAAAGCAGGATTTGCCCGGCCAGCATGGCTCAGTGGTTGAGCATCAACCTATGAACCAGAAGGTCATGGTTGGATTCCCGGTCAGGGCACATGCCTGGGTTGTAGGCTTGATCCCCAGTTGGGGGTGTGCAGGAGGTAGCTGACCAATGATTTTCTCTCATCATTGATGTTTCTATCTCCCTCTCCCTTCCTCTCTGAAATCAATAAAAATATATTAAAAGATAAAGAAGAAAGCAGGACCTTTTTCTGGATTGGATGTGGTCAGGAAGCAGGGACTAGTCTTAATCTCATCTATGAGGCAGAAAGACTGGAATGGAGCTAAAAGCGTAACTGTAAGCAAGTAGCAGTGATCCATATTAGCCAGGATTGGGCGGAGTTTGGTGTTTTTGTGGTTTACCAGTGACACTGTTTTTGTCAGACTTAGACAAGATTGCTGAGTGGTCTTATTTGGCCTCACTTCAGCCCAGTTGTAGAGTGGCCTTGTCTGATGACATTGGTGTCTGTGCAGCTGTGTTTAGTGGGAGAGCGCAAAGGCCTACCTGTGTCAGGCCCGTTTCTGGATGGCAGGGTCTGTTTTTCTCTTTCTGGTGAGTGTCTTAGGGCTGGAGTCCAGTGTAAGTCCAGAAATAAGCAGGAGTATTTCTTTTGGCTGTTTGATAGTGCCCCCTTCCTCCCTGCTAATTCTGGATTTGTATGGGGGTAGCCACTGAACCAAGATAATGGAGGCCAAGGTAGAGAAACTGCTTCTAGAAGTCAAACAACTCAAAAACACCCTTATCTGTCCAAGAATTAATTACTGTCTCAGCACATGCCCAGGTGTATCTAATTTTCAAATGATGGATGACACTTCTGAGCGTTAGGTTTACCCGGTCCTCACTCTTGCCTTGCAGGTCATGTTGAACAGTCCACTAGGGCCTTGGTTCTGCTTCAAGGCTTTCTCTAAGTTACAACCGAATGGTTTTAGGAAGTCTTTTAACCAGTATCCCTTCTGGGCTCCCAAAGCACCCTGTATTCCTCTGGTAACATTCCTGCTACATTGCAGTTAATTTGTTTATAATCAGTCTGCCTGGTTAGACTGGCTCCCACATGTTTGTATCCTTGGAACTTAATTTTAACAAAGGACTTGGCACAGGCTAGGCTCTCTATAAATATTAAATGGGTTTAAAATGGAGATTTAATTCCTGGCTTGAATTCATCTCGCAAAACATTTACCGAGTCTGTACTATGAGCCAGGACATTATGATAAATCAGCCAGTCCTTACCTTCAGGGAATTATTAATCATTTCTAATAGATTTAGGGAAAAGAAGAATAGCTGGCTTTTTTTTTTTTTTTAAGGCACTGTGTTAGGTGTTAGGTGTATCTGAATTATTATTGCAATTTCTCAGGTAAAACAGCAGATACACTAATGGGTTAAGTAACTTTGCTGAGGTCAGGAGGGGCAGAGCAGGAATTTTAGCCTGGAGGATCTGATTCTAGTAACACTCAACTCTCAGACTGAAAGGTGCTATGCAAATTCACAGTTCTGCCACTTAGAATGGAGGTCCTGTATCCAGGTTATCGAAATGGTGGCATTTATTTAAAGAGGAATAATATGACCAACATTGGACCAACATTATGTTCTTTATTAACCAGTGTGGATGCAGGAACAGAGATGCATTAGCTCCTGTTAAAACATACATGAATTTCGGTTTGGCTTCAGATCTGATCATTATATACCATTTTATTGGGCTCCCACTGCGCGCAAAACAAGTGTTCCCTGCCACTTCCTCTGCTCCGCACATCCCGGTGGGGAAGGAAAAGAGAAGGCGAAAAGGTTGTGCGGGGTGAGCAAGTGAGCATCCTGAGCTCCTAGGCCACAGCCCCGCTTCCGCACCGGCCACGCCCCTCAGCCTCGCCCTAGCCCCCCAAACCCAATTTAAACTCCCGCCCCCTCCGAATGACGACCAATGCCGGATCGGGGAGCCCGCAGGCGGCTGCGTATTGGCCGGCGCGCTGTTGCCGAGGTGACGGGTGGGCCCGGCGGGGTCACGTCAGGGCGGGGGCCAGGGTGCCCGGTGTTTACTGCCGTCCTCTGGTCAGGTCGAGTCTGCAAATCCGGCGCAGGAATTACAAACCCACCATCGC